GAGCCGATAGATTCATGTGTCCATGTTTCAAAGTCGTTCGAAAACTACGTCGATCACACTGCAGCTGGACGCACGATCATGCATGCCGCTGCATCGTCGTACAAGAACCCGAGATGCGCTCGTAGTACATACAACGCATGCGAGTCTTTTGATCATGATAGCCTTGTAAAGGTAACACTTTGAATGATGGTTTATATTAAATAGATATTGTGAATAGAGGGCACGTGAGTTGGTGTCTGAATCTCTCAATGGCATGCCGCCGCAATGGACCAAGCTGTCACTCAAGCCGTCGTGGCTGCCTCATTCAATATGGGCACCTCCGAATACCCTACCTCGAAATGACCTCCTAAACTCTGCCAATTGTCGCTTGAGAAAATGTACGGCACTGGGTGGCATCGACGACACCGAGATCTTGATGCGGACAAAGTGAATGTAGTTTTTTGTAAAATGGCAGTTGTTCTGGTAGCTACTCTTTATCCTTTATCAGAAAGACGTACTGTGATACGACCAAGCTGTTCTGAATGAAACTAGTGAGACTTGTGGGCTAGGGACTTCAAATTCGGCACAGTTTTCATTCACACTTAGTGTTGTCGAACCCATAGCTTATGCATTCAAGGGTACGTACGGTCCGGCACACCAACTGTTATATAGTACCGGTATACCACATGTCCAGTGTCGCATGTATTTACATCTTGCGCATATCGTGACATACAAGTTGTCGCACGAATATACAGTAGTATTACTTTTTTCGTTCGGACCAGTGTTGCCTGCTCTTATTGGATGGAGCAGGAGCGTTACAATTGGCGAAGCAGTTCCATAACATGTGGTTAATAACGGAGGCCATTGTTTGGTCGTCCATACAGCGGGTATGTACAGTACCTCCATCTGTTGTATGAGACAGGCAAGAGTGACGTAATGCTTGAAGATTCAGCGAGACCAAGCACATGTTGTTCGGTTAATTGAGTTTGGATTATCATTTTTAAGACATTCCTCCGCGAGGCCGACACTAGAACCACATGTTGTTCGGGTTACAGTACCTCTTGGAGGCAGAGAGTGAATATTACAGTAAGTTAGTACTGTGAAGGATATACAGTACTGGTACGTCCGGAGTACCTGAGTAGCAGTATTGTCCTTTTACCCAAAACTTGGTCTTTTTTGCTGATTCGTCAAATCTATCCATGGAATACTGTATTAAACACAGAAGGTACTGGGTGACCATGTCCAACAAATTCGAAGGAGGTATAAGCGTATGCGGATAGTACGATTGCATGTCGCGCAGTGTATGAATGCAACTTTTACTTAACAGTCAATATGCATCCTTCATCCTTTGAAAATGTGATACGGTAGCGGGTTTTTCTGACAAGAATATCGGCCACGCTGTTGGATATTTATGACGCCAAAGATGATAGATACTACGTAGTAAATGTAACGTGACGGATCTGTGATTTGCCGAAAGATTGGTGATGAATTACCCAATAGAATTCAAGAATTGATATGATTAGATGAAATACATAGAATACATAGAATTGGACATCTCGAATTTGGCACCGAAAATGAAATTTCCCACCACGTGAATTACGCTGAGCTTTACGTCGAGTCGACAACCTCACGCTGTTGGATACTAACGCCAAAGATACTCGTCCATCCTAGCGGGTTAATTACAAGAGCTGAATGTGTATACTACTCTGTGCTTTAATATAATGTACATTTGTCTCAGATGGGTGTGCTTTAATATAATGTACATTTGGTTTGACCAATGAGAGTCACGAAACAAATATTTTCAGCCAATGAAAGCAAAACCAGGTGATTCATCGAAATACATCGATATCATTGGTGTATACCTACCAATCAAAAGCTGTAGATGACACACTGCATCCATTTAATTGGCGGAAAAAATCTGCTGATCAGATTAGAGTGGGTGTGATAATTTTAGTGGTTGTTATTCTGTCATTTATGATCGAATCGCTTTATTAAAATATCAGGAGGATCAGAACGAACGCCAGCTTTCGGCAGCCAATCGAAATTCACAAGTTGGCCCAGGGGTCGCCGTGATAGGCCAAATTTCCTCAAATGTACACTACAAAAAAGCACAGAGTAGTATGTTTTACGCATCCCAACCATCCATTTGGTTAACCTTGGTCTTGGTGTACTACAGTACAGTAGTGCAATCACAATCTGACGTTAACGATTGGATTGCATTTGCTCTAGATGAAATACCATTCATTTTCCAATTCCCCCATGAAGTTCGCACTCCTTCTCGCATTGACCGTGGCTGTCGCTGCCTTGGCTCAAGACCAAATTGTCCCACCCAAAGTCGCTTGGGTCGATGAGGTCCCTGGAGACGGTTTTGAAATCCTCGGGGGCCAGGAAGCCCAATTCGGCAAGCATCGTTATGTGGCTGGACTCAAGCTGTCACCCACTAATGCGACCTGGTGTGGCGGCAGTCTTATCGCCCCCAATGTCGTTTTGACAGCGGCGCATTGTTTGACTGGTATTATACGTTCTGTGGTCGTGGGCACGCACTATATATTCGGTTTTGCCGACGGGGAACTGGCCAATGTCACCCAGGAAATCAAACACCCCGATGGCGCCGACGTGGGCATCGTAATCTTGGACCGCAACATCACGACCATCCAACCTGTGAAGGTGTCGTTTGAATTCGTTCCGGCGGACGTGCTCACTTGGGTGCGCGGCTGGGGAGCCGTCACGAGTCGTGGCCCCAAATCGCGAGTACTCAAGGAGCTCAACGTCACGACCTGGAATAACACCAGGACCTCGGCTGCGTTGCACGCCTGGCGATTGACCGATACGACGTTGGGTGCTGGAGGGGTGGAAGGAGAAGATGCCTGTATCGGCGACTCGGGGGGGCCGTTGACCATCGAAGAAAACGGTACCGCGCGCTTGGTGGGGGTGGTCAGCTGGGGCGATGGCTGTGGTAAGCTCGGCATCCCAGGTCTCTATGAACGCGCCAGCGCTGCTCGTGCCTTCATTGAACCATACTTGCCGAAGTAAATGAGATTTGCCTGTGCCAAAATGAAAGCGACATGGCCATAACCCACTTTGGCGCGAGGTTCTGTTTCGTCAAATAATACAGCTCAAACGATTTAATTGGATGAAATAAATCAGTACATCACTGGATATTCGGTACATCATCGATTTGACAATAACGTTATACGTATACGTAACGTTAGTCGTATTTTTTGTCTGTCGGTTTCTTAAATTCAAAGGTCGTGGGTTCGATCCCCGGCTTCCCCGGATTATTTTCCGTAAGGATATACTAGTATCCTGGGGAATCCGGAAATCAAGGGCTGCGTTGAACCAAGTGGGTTAGATGCTGGCCATGTCGCTTTCATAATGGCACGCGCAAGTCTGACTCACCCCTCCAGCACCCAACTCCGTTTCGTACACAGGCCCTGGCGAGGAGATTAACGCAGCCGCGGTCCTGGTGTTGTTCCAGGTCGTGATGTTGAGCTCCTTGAGCACTCGCGATTTGGGGCCACGACTCGTGACGGCTCCCCAGCCGCGTACCCAAGTGAGCACATCCGCCGGAACGAATTCAAACGACACCTTCACAGATTGGATGGTCGTGATGTTGCGGTCCAAGATTACGATACCCACGTCGTAGTGATCGGGGTGTACGATTTCCTGGGTGACATTGGCCAGGTCTCCGTCGTCAAAACCGGTTAAATAGTGCGTGCCCACGACCACATAAGTTAGACCATCACCCAAACAATGCGCCGCTGTCCATTCTAGTCGGTTAATGACAAAAGCTGAATGTGTATATGTTATACGCATCCCAACCATCCATTTGGTTAACCTTGGTCTTGGTATGCTACATTACAGTAGTGCACAAAAGTGGGTTATGGCCATGTCGCTTTCATTTTGGCACAGGCAAATCTCATTTACTTCGGCAAGTATGGTTCAATGAAGGCACGAGCAGCGCTGGCGCGTTCATAGAGACCTGGGATGCCGAGCTTACCACAGCCATCGCCCCAGCTGACCACCCCCACCAAGCGCGCGGTACCGTTTTCTTCGATGGTCAACGGTCCCCCCGAGTCGCCGATACAGGCATCTTCTCCTTCCACCCCTCCAGCACCCAACGTCGTATCGGTCTATCGCCAGGCGTGCAACGCAGCCGAGGTCCTGGTGTTGTTCCAGGTCGTGACGTTGAGCTCCTTGAGCACTCGCGATTTGGGGCCACGACTCATGACGGCTCCCCAGCCGCGCACCCAAGTGAGCACGTCCGCCGGAACGAATTTGGTGAAGTTTCCACTTGGTACAGTAGCTGATGTATCCTCAGTGTCGACGCACAATGCACCAAATAGTCTACGCGTTGGATCTGAAGCACGTACACATGTAGTAAATGCAACTTAAAGCAATCGTTGGTCATAATTATTAGAGAATGTGGTGGATTTGTGGTCATTTTGCCTACACTGATAATATGTGTATATCTAAGGTGAGGAAGACCTCGCATACCAAGCCAGGGCCAACCACCGCCCGCTATGCCTCGTATATGCACGATTTATGCGGCCTCCAGTGATGGCAGTTCGAGCGCTGGGCTCCAGGGACTCGTGGGGTAGGCATGACCAGTACTGTTGTTGTTGCGCCTCGGAAACGGAAACGTAGTTGCAGGGCATTTTGTGCACGTTGAACGAATGAGATTGGGTTTTGTATTGGACATTCGAAGCTTTCCAATCCTCGAAAAACAGGGCGGCAAGTGATTGGCCCTGGCTTGGCGCATGCGAAGTCTTCCTCACCTGAGCCTCCGCCAGTGGTGTCCCGCCAGGCTCTATCGTGTCCACGATCGAATGCTTCGGTGTCAATGCGGCACTAGTTCTCCAGGGACTTTGAAAGGCACTGTGGACACGACTGGGTCTTCCACTGCGTCTCATCCTTCCTCTGGATGTGTACTTGGCATGGGCAGTAAACACCAACAATATATTTATACTTAGTTTTGTATGGTATAAGTTATCCGAACGATAGTTTAAAACAAATCACCTACACTGCCCACCACACAACACCTTTTTACATACAAAATTCAGTTACAAAGAATCTATCGATAACCTACATTAACAGTTTAAGATAACTTAACGTAAAAAACAGTTTAAGATAACTTAACCAATTTAGGATAACTTTGTATTGCCCAATCACACCTCATTATTTGTTCGGATCAAAACCTCTGTCATATAATGCTGACCATTCCGTCACGTGAATCAAATGCGAAAACGGCGTAGAAGCCATTGGTAACAGTCATTTACAGTTAAGATTGAGTACCCTAGTCGACACTGGCCACATTGGGTTAGATCTGAGGTTTTGTCGAGTGTTAAACTCAGTGGACATCCTTCCACAACAGAAATATAACTCTATAAAACAATACCCTTGTATAAATGATATGAAACCTGTTGTAAACGCAGACTTCCCTAACAAACACAGAATTTCAATGTTCCTACATACTACCAGGGGCTTACTTTTGTAAGTTATCCGATAGTTTACTGTTAAAACCAATCACGACGCCTTTTTACATACAAAATCCAGTACAAAGAATCGATAGATAATAGATTTGGCGATTCAGCACAAAAGTCCAAATTTTGCGTAAATGTAAAATACGAATGGGTGGTTAAGACGCGGCTGTCGTAATTGCAATAGGTTAATCGCGTCCTATATGCCGGCGGCTTTAGTTCGCATTGTAGACATGTTAATTCAGTAGTCTATTCCACCAATTTCCACCTAAATAAATTCGTCGCATGATGACTCGCCTGGAAATCACTATGTGGGGATACTCCAAGAACAACCTCAACGCCATCCAGAACTTCCAATTACCGTTTTGCATGCACTTCTATCAGATGGTCTCGGGGAAAAAGCTGCTCAAGCCTGGCAAAGCCGGCATGAGCTACGCGCGCCCGGACACCTCCCGCCGGTTCTCCCAGTTCCGATCACTTCACGACGCCCTCATCCGCGACGGGGTTTCAACTGCCCCTACTTCACCCCGCCAACCCCTGGGTTGACTTTTGGATCTGGTATTTCCCTATCCCCAGCTTTGGCCCTGCGACTGCGTTCCTGTGTTATTTCCCACGCCAGTTCCAACACAAGCAACCAAATAGGGAGTTCCGATCCCCGCAAACCACCCACTTTATTGACTTCATGTTACGACGGCGCTGCAGAACCAAGAGTGAGATTCGGACAGTTGGCTGGGACAGGTGTTCTGTTTTACGTCCTAGTATTATTAGAAATACTGCTAGTAATACTAAACCTTTTCGTGTCGGTTTGCCAAAGGTCGGCACCCGGTGGCCTCGGTTGAGGACCACCTGTGTCATGGCGGGACTTGGACTAAGTCGCCCACCACAACACCCCGCAAGCCATCTCCCGCAGGACACACTTGGGTCTCGCTAATTCTTCGCGCTCGCTCTCTTCCTCGCATTGCGTAACGCATCGCCTCCGCTCGCTGCCTTCTACGCTTTAGCTCGTCACCACGACCGGGCATTCATGCATGAGCTCCTGCAGCGGTTCCTATGTGCACTCGATATCTACAAAACCTTCCCAGAGTACTTCCAGCATGAAGTCTTTCGCATCCAGGATAAAATTTGTGTCCCGCGATGGACTTGACCGTCAGCATGATCCCTTGCTCGGAAACGTGTTGGAGGATCTCTTCGGTCTTTTCAAAGCTGTCTTCAGCGTAGAGCTTGAATCTTGATTATGAGTCACCACAAAACGACGGAGTATTCACCCACTTCCTTGACTCGGTAGGGAATCGTCCAGGTTACGAGCAGCTTGGGATGATAGCGTTCGTCGACGCGGGACCAGAGTACATAATCGCCATTGCTGACATTGCACTCTTCGTACTTCTCGGTTGCTTTCGTCGCCTTCGCCGCGCGCATCGCATTCTTGTGTAGGACTTCTTTGTGCATGAGTTGCAGGCTGGCACGCAGCTTGTCGAGGTTTTTTGGGATGTCCTTGACCGTCCAGTCGCTCTCTCGGAGTTCCTTGTTCATGCACCACCACGACATCCAGGGGAGTCGCCGGGTTTAAAGCCTTGAACAGCTACATCAGCGACTTGCTCGCCAGTGATGCGGCCGGTGTTTGGTTGAGGTTGGCTTGGACCACCGGCAATAGGTAGCCCCATTCTTGTTCGGCTAGCTGGTACTCTCGCTACATGACCCGCATCACTTAGAGGATGTCGCGGTTCATCCGCTCAACCGTTCCATTGCGCCTGGGGCAGTAGGCCAAGGTTAGGTCATGATGGACCTTCAACTTGTGGGCCAACGCCTTCATTGCCACGTTTTTGAAATGGGTTCCTTGGTCGCTGACCCAGACTCGTGGTATTCCGAACCGCTTCGTCCAGTCCACCGGGGCATCCACACATACTTGGCTGAGTGGCCGTTGTTGCTGCCGCGCCATGAGTTGCCACCGTGTAGTTGTCTTTGGCCCCCGTGGGCTCGGTTGGGTGCATCGCGCTTCTTGCTGAGGCACTCGCTGAATACGTGGCCGTTCCAGTTGCAGTAGGTGCAGAACTTCTCACTGGTCTCCGTGTTGTAGGCTTCATCGGTGCCTCAGATTTTGGACGCTTTGGCGTTGGTCTTGTACTTGTGCTATATCCACTCGGCGACAATCTCGAAGGACTTGATCATGCCGATGAGAGATCAGTATTCGAGCTCTTGCTTGGTTATGCGCTCCAGGATCGAGTCGACCCAGGCTTCGAAGCTCGGCGGTAAAAGGTAGAGGAACTCGACGATACGATCGGTTTCGGGCGTCATGTCACCGGCTTCGAAAAGCTTGCTGGCGCATTCTTGGTACTGTACTTGTGGATGAACGTGGCATACGCCTCATGGGGCTTCCATGAGAGAGTCGAGAGCTCGCGACGGAGCAGAATCTTGTTGACAATCGTGGTCTTTTCGTGGACTTCCTTGAAGGAGGTACTAGGCGAGGTTCTTGTGGACGATATAGGGGTGCGCCTTCTCGAGGTCGGTCTCCTTGATGTACTTGAGGTTGTCCCGGTGGACTGACAAGTTTATGTAGGACTTGGCCACGTAGACGTCTTCTTCATCGTAATGATCGAAACGGTTGCTCGACATCAAGTACCCGCGGAGCTTTTGCTGGGAGTTCTTCTGCTCGATGTGGTCGGCCCATTCGGCGTAGTTGGAGCCGTCAGACTAGAGCTTGATGACCTCTTTGACGACGTAGTGCGTTGGGCTTATAACCTGATGTGATGTGGTGCAGAGGCGAGTAACAATCTATCTGCTGGTAATCATATTCATTTGGTTGAGACAAGAGGCTGCTTGGCGGGCAAGACAGGCTTGGCAGCACCACAATCCGTTGGGTGAACAGCTTATGGGTAAGCCACACAACAATGCAACAAAAAGACATCGACTACACGGACATTTTTGCTCCTGTTGTATGACTCGTAGCTCTTCGCTTCCTGTTCGCCTTGGTGGTCATCCATGAATCGGAATGCAAAAAAATGGACGCCAAACCGCATTTCTCAATGGCGAAATCAACTGCGTTATGCGCAACGAACAGCCCCTGGCTCCCTCATCGACCCGCGACTATATCTGCCTCAAAGAGTCTTTATGGACTCAAACAAGCTATGTTACTGGACTTTTACCTTCATGGCTGCTCGCGCGAGATGATCGTTTTACAATCGATAGTCTCTATGTTGACGATCTTTTGATCAGTACTCCTACCAAGGCGCTTGCTACCTTTCACCTTCGTGGCCGCCCGCCTTCTCAAATACCGCTGTGTCTTTCTCAAATCCCAAGAAGATGGTTTTACAATTGCTAGTCTCTACGTTGACGATCTTTTGATCACTACTCCGATCAAGGAATTGCTACCGCTCTCAAGGAGTCTCTATAACTGCGTTTCCACCTGAATGAGTTAGGACCTGTTCGAGATATTCTCGCCTGGGAAATCGTGCGTGATCATTCCAACCGAACTCTGTTGATTCACCTGTCTCACTTCTGTTCTACAGTACTAGAGCGCTTCGACATGTCTACGTCCAAGCCCGTCGCCACTCCTTTTGAGTGCACCACGCCTCTGCCACAAGCACAGTGTGCTCCTACCGCCGACGGTATTGCATTTATGCAAACCAAACCTACGATTCCATTGTTGGAAGTATTAGGTACTAGTACTTTGCGATCGGCTCTCGCCCAGATTGGCCTATGCCTTACAACAACTCTCGCAGTTTCTGCACAACCCGGGTCTTGCTGCCAAACGCGTTCTGCGCTACCTTCAAGGCACCCCCATCTTGGACTTATGTTAGGCGGTCGAGACTATGTCTCCAAGAGGTTTCTCCCCGCTTATGTGGATTCTAACTATGCCATGTGCCCCGCCACTCGCCGCTGTGTCATGGACTTATTATCCTATTTTTCAACAGTCTTATATCATGGCTTTCGAAAAACTAAGGTATCGTGACTCTGTCAACAAACCGAGGCCGAGTTTGTGGCTCTTTCCCTTTGCATTCAAGAATGTTTATACATTCGACAACTCATGCCGAGCTACATTACACTAGTCTTCAAACGATTTTGATCTACGAGGACAATCAGTCTGCTATCAGCATTGCCCAAAACTCGGAGCATCCGGGCGCTCCAAACACATTGATGTGCGCTTTATGTATGTTCGTGATCTCGTTGAGAACAAGGAGTTTATTCTCCATTACAGCCCTACCAAAGAACAACTTGCGGACTTCTTTACGAAAGCGCACCCGGAACTTTAGTTTCAGCATGTTCTGCCTCGCTCTGCGACTCTAGGCCCTTGGCGACTGCCTTTGCAGCCGTTTAAGCTAGTGACATTTGCCTATGGCATCGCGCTCACTCTTTTTATGTCTTTATGACTGTTATATATATGTATCATGCAATATTTGAACCAGCTTTCTAAGCAAACACTTATCATTCTCCTCCTTCATCCTCACCCTCGACCATGTGGCGACTTGTGCACTCTATGTCTGCTCGTGCCTTTTGAAGTTGGCGGTCTAGTCTGGCCCGCGGTGCCGCTCAATGATCGACCGTACGATTGGCATCTTGGTTTGTGAAGTTACTACACGGTGCCACCGATCCCACCCCCCCTACTTGCAATTCATGGTTGTTTGCCCCTACTCTATGAGTATCATTTGTACTTGCTTCTGGCATCTCTACTTCTCATTCTCGTCTTTACCATGTTCCTTGAGCACCCCAGCACGGCTGTACCTTCGAGAACTTCGTCTCGAAGGCCTTCACGAGCACATTGCCCAATGGGGTGGCTGTCACGAAGACGCACTTTGGCCTTTTTCGCCGAGGCTCGCTCAATTACGGATAATATCCGGTCATCGAGAATACCCCGGACTTCTGTTTCAATAATCCGGTCTTCTGTTTCTGTCCAATCATAGGTCAGCTAAGCTCTCCGTTATTGATTGCTGTTGGTTTTGTTCTCGATTCCGTGACACGTTTTGGGAACGGGACTTCAAAATATAGTATTACTAGTAGAACTGCAGTAGTAACCAGGAAATTGGAATTAGACTTGTGCCCAACGAACCGACCGAGTGCCTTCCTCATCACGCGTCGTCCGAGCCTTTGGAGGCACTACTACTAGGAATAGTAGTAGTACTACTACTAGGGCTAGCGTGTGACGAGTGCCACCGACGCTAGCGCAACCACGGTCGCCATCGCCGGCAGATGGGGCGGTCTTCGAGGCCCTTCAGGTGCATTAGCTCCACCTTGTGCAGCATATGATCCTTGTCTTTGGTCCACTAGTCTTTCAGGGCTTCTAGCGTATCTACGACGAGGTTCTGCATCTCGTTGGTGCGTTCGTGAGCCTCGAGTGCCTCGTGGACCCACCCCGGGAGCATCTGCTCGACGATCTCTGGTCTTTCGTACGGCACCCAGTTGGAGTTGATGGCATTGTTCTTGGTCCCAGCTCGTTGGCATTGGACACGCCGTGAAAGCCCAGAAAAGACTCGACGGACCGCACCGACCCGTTATAAAACCAGGCCAAGCCATTCGTGTCTACATCTCCATGGAACGGCAGCGTCAGCACCCCGCGCACGCGGTTCCCGCTCGTCTTCTCTCGCCGTGCGGCTTCGGGCAGCGGGTGCTACATGTAACAACAAGCATAAGTTAGTTTACAGTTAGCGCAAATTTAGGATGAGTTTTATCAAGAAAAGGTCTGCAGGTGGGGGGGTTGTCATATAACCCTTACATAGGTCAACAAAGCAATCCAAAGTCCCAAGACAGTTGAACGAGGTGAACATAGATAGGATGGTGCAAAGGCCCACGACATTTGAAAGTTGTGAGCATAAAGTGGTGCTGCAAGGAAGTTGTTGGCCAGCACAACTACCCCCTCACGAAGGTGGCGGCTGAACCAAAAGCGACCTGTGAGGACAAAGTCGATTGTCCTCACAATTGGCCCATTCTGATGATTGTTAATCAAGTTTTGCAGTATCTTTAATTAGGTTTTACAGGTATACTTCCGGTTTTGGCAGACACAGCTGAGGGTGATGATAAATATGAGTTGCGAAACCTCTCTAATAGTACTACATATTTCCATTTCAATAGAACGACCAAGTTAGTAGAGTGATTTTGCTAAGTTGAAATTACCTGTGAAAATTCTGGAGTACTCGAGAAGGATCTAGAAATGAAAATCCTGTGTGAAATCATTTTGCTACATCAAAATTTGTTGTGAAAAGTGCATGCCTGGCATGGACGAGTCGATTGTACTCGTGTCGGCCATGGCACTACTGCTAGAAGAGTCCCAAGAGCATACACGAGCTATACACATACCTCGCGGCCGGTTCAACCTCATGGCACAAAGCTATTCAACGTGCGCCTTCCACTTTCGCTTTAAGAAAAACGAGATTCAGCAATTGAAAGTGCTGCTGGAGATTCCCGACCCGATAATCACGCCCCAGCGCTTCAACGCGAGCGCCGAAGAAGCCTTATGCATCCTGTTAAATCGCTTTACGTGTTGAATCGCTTGACGTGCGATTCAACAGAATGCAGAGGGCTTCTTTGGCGCCGAGCAGCTGCTTGTGCTCATCGTACTCCTCATCTGTTCCAGACGCACGAAGGGCAGCAAGGGTTTGTACTTGAAAAGCAGACATTAAGTCGTCATAGCGTTTTCGTGCTCTGTAGACCATTATGGCTTGGTCATAGCGACCAGGTACTGTACATGTACTACACATGCTGCGTCTGTGGGGTCTAGCTGTCGGTATCGATAGTTTTCCAGTCGACATCCGACTCCACTAGTACGAAGAGCTCTCTGTTGTGTCGACGAGTCTAGTAACACTAATTGACCACGTACAACTGGACCTATCACGCTAGAGATGCTCTGTGATCTCTGTTGCTTCGAACGGCCTAACATGAATGACTTCCTTAAGAAGCTCGACGTCGGGGCACCCCTTAAAGCGGAATGCTGTCTTACGCTTCAGCACGGACTCGGACTTTTGTTCTCTACCACTTCGTTGTCGTCCATACCCCAAGAATGTCACAATGAAATTTCAGTTCTCTGTGAGGTGTTATGACAGTGATTTTTCTCGAACAAATTTGCCTGTGGATGGCACCTATTTGTTCACAGTGATTTTTCCACAAAGAATTATACATAGAGAATTATATACAGCAAAATCACTCTAGTTTCTTGGGCTTTTCAAATGTATCCTCCTGTTTTCCTCAACGCTGACCTCAAGAAGCGGCTTTAACTCGCACATGATTCACAGCTCGGACTGACTAATTAAGGTAATTAATTACATTCATTTCCGGCAATACAAACACCAAGTAAAAGTACTCTCGTTGAACAGGCCTCATCCGGGTAGCAGCACGGCCTACGGCCTACCTGCCGCTTTTCCCGACGAGAGGAATCGATTG